CGCCCTCGTTTATGTTGCGTTTAACATTCGAACAGTGCATCTATCACATCAGTGCAGAGGGAGGAAGAGGTCAGGTTTGCACCTGACCCTCCCAGGTCCATATGGATTTAAATCCCGATGAAGCAGACAGTGTCTATAATAGCAATAAATCTGAATGAATAGGCTCTGAATCTAGAAAAACTACACCAAAATGGCTTTTGAAAGTTTTTGTTTCTGATCCATACATTATTCCACACGTAGCCTGGTCAACTATTTATGCTGTTGACTTGCTTGACATGGCCAGGTGGTTAGGGCACTCGACTCGCAATCTGAGGGTCGCGGGTTCGAATTCCCGTCCCACCAAACACGCTCGCCCTTTCAGCCGTGGGGACGTTATAATGTTACAGTCAATTCCACTATTTGTTAGTAAAAGAGTAGCCCAAGAGTTTGCGGTGGGGGGTGATGACTAACTGCCTTCCCTCTAGTCTTCCACTGCTAAATTAGGGACGGCTAGCACAGATAGCCCTCGTGTAGCTTTGCGCGAAATTTCAACAAACAACAAACGACTTGCTTGATTGTGATGAGAAGTCAGAACATGATCAACGCACAGATAATGTGATATTTCTGTGTATCTTGTTGTTTCCACCAGTAGCTTAACCATGAAAGTATGAAAAGCTATAAAAGCTTGGGTAATTATAAATTCTTCTTAGCGGGATAGGTGTCAGACGTGCAAGTAAAATAGTTTATGGCTTGTGTCTATTACAGCTAAGGTGAGTTTTGTTTTGTAGCTTCTACTTTATCTCACATAGTCTCTACTATCTAATCTAATGTTAGTTGTATACCTCTCGGTCTACGACACAGTAGTGTCTAACTGACCTGGTCTAATCTAATGTTAGTTGTATACCTCTCGGTCTACGACACAGTAGTGTCTGACTGACCTGGTCTAATCTAATGTTAGTTGTATACCTCTCGATCTACGACAGAGTGGTGTCTGACTGATCTGGTCTAATCTAATGTTAGTTGTATAACTCTCGGTCTATGACACAATGATGTCTGGTTGACCTGGTCTAATCTAATGTTAGTTGCATACCTCTGGTCTACGACAGAGTGGTGTCTGACTAACCTGGTTTAATTTAATATTAGTTGTATAACTCTCGGTCTATGACACAATGATGTCTTACGGACCTAGTCTAATCTAATGACAGTACCTATATCATCGTAATGACATATATTATTCGTTAGTGCCTGTAAAAATGTTTGGACCTTATCAAGTATGAATAGTTTCAACAACTAATACATTTGTTTGTTTTGAATTTCGCGCAAAGCTACACGAGGGCTATCTCCGCTAGCCGTCCCTAATTTAGCAGTGTAAGACTAGAGGGAAGGCAGATAGTCATCACCACCCACCGCCAACTCTTGGGCTACTCTTTTTACCAACGAATAGTGGGATTGACCGTCGCATAACAACGCCCCCACGGGTGAAAGGACGAGCATGTTTGGTGTGACGGGGATTCGAACCCGCGACCCTCAGATTGCCTTAACCACCTGGCCATGCCGGGCCAACTAATACATAGTATGATATTTATACACGTATTTAAAGTCGAAGTTTAGTTTTATACAACATCACTTTACATATTTATTCTAATATCCTTCACAAAATGTGCACTGCAGAAACAGGAATACTGTGAAGGCTACCATACCACAGCAGGTTCGCTGTACATTGAACACAATGCATGTACTGAACTCTTATAAATTGTGAAAAAGTTAGCACAATACATTTCAAATACCAATATTAAAGAGTACCACACGTTAAAAGCTTAAATTTTAAAAACTAACCAACTTACAAAATAAAGACATGAAATATTAATCTGCATACAAGATAAATATTCCAAATGTTAGCAAGTGTCCAAGATATAATATGTATCAAACAAATCATGGATAATCAACGGTAAAGTGTATAATAAGGAAAACAATGCTGCCTGTTAAATCAATGGCACGTGTTTTGAAAATAGGTAGAACTGAAGTAATAATAATTATTAATTAAGGCATCACGAAGTACATAAAGAAGTTAAAAGTTTAGGGCATCACAAAGTACATTAAAAGTTTAAAAGATTGTTCTATTCCTTTGAAAGTTGAAAGAATGTATCCTCGTAATTAAATGTAGGTAGGATTATCACACGTGCTAGCTTTGATTCGCCGGACAGTAAACAAAATAGTAATGGCGAACACAGCTGTGTACAGGGCAGTGCGTAATCGCGAAGCACATTAATGAGCTCGTGCACTGAATTAAGGCAGACCCTAAGTAACGAACTAACCAACCATATGACTGATTACATTACAGAATGTAATAATCTCACACAGTAGAGTCTAAAATATTAAAGAAATAAAGTAAGAAACAAATTAGAAGTTTATTTCAAGATACAGAAACAGAAAAACTAATAGTTCATGCTTTCTTGTCAACAAATAATGCAAAACGTTTCCAAAATAAACTAAAACGAATAGTCTCGTGTGACGTCAGGGATGTGACTATGAAAGCGTTGATACATTGCCAAAAGATGGCGGCGATCTTCGTCAATCGAGGCGTGGCCCCAGAAAGTACAGTGTAAACAAACCACTTCCGTTTACATGATTTTGACTTCCAACGATTAAATGTGTATATTCGCTCCATTCGAAATATGTATAGAAAGTCTGAGGGCAATGGCTTCAGAACTGACAAAGTCTTTGCGTGTACAATTCCGTGTTATAGTATAGAAAGCAACCAGTGTTTTGTTTGGAGTTAAGCACAAAACCACCCAATAGGTTATCTGTGCTCTGCCCACCACGGGTATCGAAACCCGGTTTCTAGCGTTGTAAATCCACAGACTGCCGTTGTGCCACTGGGGAGGGGGCAGCAACCAGTGTACGAACTACTTTGTTTTTCATAAATATATGTTTTCCACCTAGTTTTTAATCTTAACGTTTTGAATATGTGTTTTCGCTCCATGTTGATGGGACACTTTATTTATTCTAAGTAGCATTGCATTCCATGATCATATTGATTAGAAAGGTACTGTAAATTATCACGATCTTCCCAAATTCGAATAATTGAAGGAAAGTAGCCTATCAGGTAGTGTGAGAGTTTTGTCACACTTATTCTTACAGTTAAAAATATCGTATAATACTCGGAAAGCATTTTAACCTCACCTTGATACCTTTTGAACCCGGCAAATTAATTGTAACAGTTGATGCGTATGAAACTAAAATTAAGTGCTATAATATGTTTGTACAACCTTGTTAGTTATAACTACTGAAACTCCGTATTTTTGTTGATGATTTACAAAGTAGGTATTTAAGTTATATTTATTTTCAATTATGGGAAAATGCTAATAAATAAGAAATAGAAAACTGTAAGGCATAATCACTCATTATTGCCAATATCATAACAGAATCATTATTACGGTTACATGTTGTCAGAAAAACACGTAGGTTTAAGAAATCTTGAAACAAATTGATAAAAACCCTATAACCCGAGTGCTTTCAAAAGGTGGACCTTTCGAAATCGCTCGAGTTATAGGGTTTTTATAATTTTATTACGATTACTTAGTTGGCCTAACATTACAATAAAACATAGTGTTAAAGTTCCAGTGAAATAAACTACAGTAGAAAATGAATAGTTAATACTGATGAGTTATCTTACAATTTCTAAAATATATTAAATTGCCTTAATAAAGTTGTTTGTGCCCCAAACAACTGGGAAGGAAATATGTTTAACGTATGTTTGGATTTATATTTTATTGAAGAAGTATATGGATCATTGTAATTGGGTTATTAAGATAATAATGTCCTGAGGTGATATTAACCTCGTGTTTGAATATTACAAGAGAAATAAAAAATTGGGAATTTAAAAACCTGCAAATAGGGATCGTAAGAGTAAGAAAACAACATTGGAGATACTGCAAGCGTTATTTACCCAAACTACAAACCCCTATTTTAGCTCCGTGCTGTTACCTAGAATTACATTTGGTGGAGTCAAAATAGGGATTTGTAGTTTGAGTAAATAATGTATAGAGTATCTACAGCCTTGTTTCCTTATTTTTTTACGAGCCCTATTTGTAGATTTTTAAATTTACAATTTTGTATTTATCTTGTTTGCTGGCTTTTTTATGCTCAACAATAGACAAATAATTACTTGATATGGTAGCTAACTTTGTACATTGTAATTATAACTAGTTGAAAGGTTTTCACTTCATACATCACATAGGGGTTGGCTCCCTAAAGACACCGATTGTACAGTGTACAAAGCATTGAGTATCTACACATTATAGTTATCTAATGTTCATCGATTATTGGCTGGTAATTCCTGTTTCACCCTGTATGTAAGCTTTTGAAGGAACAGCACATCTTTGTAAGAAAATTAATTTCAAGGGGTAATGATAACATTGTTTACACTAGAATTGTGATGTTTTTTAGCTTATGTAAAATATAAAAGAAACAAATCGACTTTTCAATATCCGTACAACCTTCACAGTACCTTATCTAGAATTCTACAAAATGTTTGTGCGCAATATACTAAGCTGTTTTTGTATTAGGCTGGCAATAGAATAATAAGAAGAAGAAAAAATAATTACAAACGGGCTCTTTTTTAGCGGATCTTCTTTTCCTTGTAAGTTTAATATGCGTACTTTTTAATGTGTGTTCAACATAAACAGTCAATAATAAAGGTTAGTGTTGTTTGAACTGAATCTTTACCGTTTAAGGTGCTTTTTGCCCGAACGTTCTATTACGGTTTTGTGCAATTCCTTGCGATCCCTATTATGAACCACTATCGTGGTTCGTGATTATGCACACGTTAACATTGTTTGGCGCGATAGAAGTAACTAAAACAAGTATTTAATTGTTAAACCATCATCACTAATCAGCGATTCATAAGAAAGTATCTTACATGTTTGACCCGAATTACAGGCAAAGTAAGAGAGTATACTCACGAGGAAGGAATGCCATTTTGTATAATAGTGTTAAAGTTATTATTTGTTTGAACGTAGCAGCAAATGTCATCTCCAAACCAAAGTGCTACCAGTGCACTGTGGAAGACAATAGCCTGTGCACAGATGATTTCCTGCAGTCCTGCCCAGACGACCAAGCGTACGACAGATGTATGACGATTATAAAAAAATCGAGTAAGTAATGAAGTTAGATATAATATCAAAACAAAAAAATAGCCGCAGGTACTGAAGGAACTACTAATATTACTAATATTAAAAAACACAAAATCTGCAAGTACCGAAGTTAGTACTAGTATTATTAATATCAAAAAACACAAAATCTGCAAGTACCGAAGTTAGTACTAGTATTATTAATATCAAAAAACACAAAATCTGCAAGTACCGAAGTTAGTACTAGTATTATTAATATCAAAAAACACAATTTGCGAGTACTGAAGTTAATTCTAATATTATTAATATAAAAAACACAAAATCAACGAGTCCTGAAATGAATATCAATATTTATATTAAGAATTTAAAATTTACAAGTAAGGATCGTACTCTTAACTAAGTAAGTGTTAAATGTTCACTCAACATTTTATATGCAGTTTCAATGATGCAAACTCTAGACGTTTTGAACTTCTGGCTGTTTTGTTTATGAGGATTTTTGGAACAACACTTTCTTCCTGTTTTATGGCAAGTCTAATAATTCACTTTACGCTACAGCCTTAAACACTTGTAAACTTGCTAGTAATAAAACGTAATGGTCTCATACAGAGTTTCGTTATTATTTATTGTATGTGAAATGCAGTGGCTAGTCATTAGGCAACGCACTATAAGATAAAGCGAGTTATGTATCCATCGCTATTTGGTTCAGCAAGTTGGAGTAATATGTTAAAATATAATAGTTTGAGACATATTACAGCTTTTAACACAGTACAGTACAGAAGATAACCATAACATTGTTTTACTTACGAATAAACATGTAAATAATTTGAAAAATCTCTTTCAAAAACAAAACGTTTCACTAGGTTTACCTAGCACCATCAGGTGGAAATCTGTGAATAGAATCGTTCAACGGTTCAAACTGTCACATGCTACAATATCAAAAATTATAATATGTCATTAAACAATAATCCGAGTTATTTGTGCTCTGCTCATCGCCGGTATCGAAACCTCATTTTTAGCGTTATAAGCCCTTAGATTTATCACTGAACCACCAGGAGAGGCCGATCAAATTAAATGTAAAATCTCTGACGTTACAACTATTACAGCCTTTACATTTAACTTAACACTCTGAACGGTTAGTCGTATTATGTTGTAATGATAAACTATACTATTGCTATTAATTAAGAAAACAACAGATATCGGGAAAAAACTATAATGGTCATAAAGTTCAGCTGACCTATCTCTAAAGAACTTTAATCATTATTATTTAAGATATGATTAAGAAATAAAATGTAAAACATGATATCAGGAATATTTAATGTAGATGGTTTTAAAATATAATATTTGTATGTGTAAAGTACAATACGTGTTTATTTTTGTCTTTATTAACTACTTGTGTGTTTGTTTGTTGTTAAGCACAAAGCTACACAGTGTATGGAAATCAGATTCATAGTGTTAATAGCCCTCCGACTTACAGCTGAGCCACCGAGGAGCTTTTAATAAAGAGAAAGTTTTTCTTTTCGATAATATTTAGACTGAGACTCTTAACAAATCATAATTAATGTGAGATCTAATTATATCTTATATTTCACAAAATAACGATTAAACAATTGAATATCAGTCAGATATTTACGTATGTGTTGATGGTATCTGGAGGTGCACAAATAAATTAACAATCCCCGTTGGCAAAATTTTATTTTCATATTGAAATAAATAGCTGCGTGATTCTGATGTCATTTCAATGAGTTCGCCTTCTTCTTTCAGAGTCCAGTTTAATCATTGAGAAAAAATGTGCATTGGGTCCATGTAAACTCCGTGATCCTAAACAGAGCACTGGACTAGGACTTGACCACTGTGACCGAAGCAAGCCAGAATACTCATGTGTCCAGTGCTGTCAGGGTGATGGTTGTAACAAGGATGGGGTGGATAGTATCCAGCCCTCATTTATCGCTTTATCCTTTTTACTCATTCTAACATTGGGGATGTTTTTGTTTCTGTTTGGATAAACAAAAAATAAAAATAAAATAAGCCCTATTTTGATCATATAATAAACAAAAAGATATCCATATGGATGCCAATGTGTATTCCCACCTGTACCGCTAACTTCCCTTGGAGAACATATGAGAATATACACTGAAGTAATTTACTATAATGATGACCTGTAATACTTGAAAAGATTAGTTCCTGCTCTAAACCTTTTAAAAGTGTTGATAAATTTAAATTGTTAATTATTACCCATGCATTCTAAACACTTCATTTAAAGACATGTTACCTTAACTTCCATGTCTCCAAGGAAGTTTCAAATCTAATTCATATTTTTGTACTACAAATGCAAATTAAACTAAAAAAAAAAAAAGAATATCTAATTAATAGTTAAAAACAGTTAAATATCACTGGGCCTTAACCACCCTAAGCCGCAAATAATAAAGCGCACTACATGCCCACGTGTGCACCCATATGGATTTCTTATTTATTCACGAGCTTTATCTAGCGTAATGGCAGTGTGTGTGCTGTACATAATTGTGTGTCTTATTTACAATTGCTAAAAATTATTTTATTTAAGTCTTATTTATTATTATTATTTCCAATGGAAAATTTATATAGCTGGTTTACAATGTATAGTTTTACGATTTTTATGTTATATTTTTATTATTGTTTTTATAAAATAATATCACTAGGTGGTACAAAGTATCGTTGAAAACGTGTGCAAATGAAAACTGAAAATCTAATGTTATTTGTTGGTCTTTTGGTGTGCAGCATATATGATTCAAAAGTGCAGTATTTTCTTTTAAATTTATATCATTTCATGAAGAAGAAAAAAATTTTCACAAATTTCAAAATATGTATGCTTGCAAGATTTTTTATTTCTTAGGCAGAAAGCTTATATGTATATATATATATAATAAAAATTTAGAGTTAGAAATGGGTTTGTGTGCTTTGTAAGAAAAAATATAAGATGTTTGTATCATTAATGTAGTAACACGAAGAAGTCGTTAAAAGGGACTGGAACTCACTGACAAAAAGGGAATTTCAAGTACTGTAAGCGGGGGGGGGGGGTATAAAGACTGTAGGTTTGCCTCTGTTACACATGGGTTAAAAGCAATACGAAATAAACGGATCTTCTTTTACTTCTACCCAATTGGTCTTATAAATACTTAAGATCTAAAATAGTGAATTACTGGATATTATTACTTAATAGCATATTCATTTTAAAGCTGAAATATTTTCCCCCTAATGACTCGCAGCATGAAAGGTGTGGAATCAGGCGTGCTTTTTTAGTAGTTGTAGACAATTTTTTATGGCCAAGAAAAAGGGCACTTTTGAGTCCACCTAGTCACCCCTGTACACTTCACTGTATCAACGTGTCAGAATTTAAAAGGACATAAATTACAGTAATTAGAAATTGGATGAAACTTGCAAGGTATGTTTCTCTGTCCATTGAAAATTTTGATAATGATCAAATTCTTCTAGAGGGTTTAAATTCCACTCCTGTTGCACTCTCCCCCGCCCCCTCTGTTTAATAGATAAAGGTTTAATAGATGTAGATTGTAGAAAGACATATATTTTCAGAAAAAACATGTTGTGAAAATCAGGTGTGATCAAGTCATGAGTGTATTCTAACATATAAGTATGGTTTAATTTTCTTTAATTTGTTTGCAACAAAGTACATATTAAATAAAAAATGTTTATATGTTTACTGTGAATTGTCTTATTAATTCATAATAGTAAAATATTGCAGATAACTTTCAACAAAAACATTTAAATCTGCATTTTTTTATATATTTATATATTTTGATTTTTTCAGCCTTCAATCTATATATATATACATATATACTGGTTGTTTAATATTGATCCTTGAGTTCATAAAAGTTTTAATTGCTGTGTATTAAGAATATTAAGCACGAATCATGGTTTCTTTGAAAAATAATTTTATAGCACACGTGGCGTTATTCCAACTAATATTTTTTTTTATAAACACTTTCAAATAGTATTCTAAATAAATGTTATTTATCAATGCACCATACAATTAACAAGTATTTCTTCTAGAAACTTAAAGTGATAACGACGGAAAGCAGTACCTTTGAAACTACACTTTCATAACTAGGTTGACAGTTGGTAAAAATGTCATTAACTTATTTCTATAGATGTGCCTCTGCGCATTTAAGACCTTATTATTATTATTATTTGCATACATGCTGGTTGATAGCACATCAGGAGGTTTTACATTTAAAAGTTCCTTCTATCTCTCTAGTAGAGGCCAGTGTCATTATTAAAGTCTAAACCTCATGACCGTAAGGGCTTGTAGCTTCATGAGGCTTTATCATTATTTTTTTATCAAAATTAACTACCTATACGAATCGGTACATGTAAAAACTAACCCTGTAATGAATACAGCTAATTTAATATACCTTTCTTGCTCATAGCGATTAGGATGTATTGATTCATCTCTTGGGTAACCTCGCGAAATCCCAATAACACCTCGCGAGGTTCGGACAATTTTGGAGACTTAGATTAATCATAAATCAATATAATAAACCAACAATGCAAATTAATCCTCATAACAAAAATAATAATAAAATTAATATTTTATATATCTTAAACAATTTAATAAATACTGTTAATGAAAATGACATTAAAGCTTACCTCCAGGTGTTGCACTGGTAGTTTGCTCTTTTCAAGACTACGTTTACAAGGTATAAATTCATTCTGTTGCGGCTTTCGACAGAAAGACTTATATCTAAGTTTTATAATGTCTGATAAATTCATACCAGTCCTTACTTTAAAGATTTCATAAGCCAGTGATGTATAAATGTTGATTTAATGCACAAAAAAGTTTTAAAACTTATGTCCTGATGTCCATTATTTTCTATGTTTAGAAAAATACTTCTTTTTACTACTAAGACACTTTTATGTTCTATTGTTCTATAAAGGTTGTTCTTCTCTTCTGGGCCAGGTGGTTAGGGCGCTTGACTCACCATCTGAGGGAGCGTTATAATGTGACGGTCAATCCCACTATCTGTTGGTAAAAGAGTAGCCCAAGTAGTTGATGATGGATGGTGATGACTAGCTGCCTTCCCTCTAGTATTACACTGCTAAATTAGGGACGGCTAGCGCAGATAGCCCTCGTGTAGCTTTGCGCGAAATTTCAACAAACAACGAACGACTTGCTTGATTATGATGAGAAGTCAGAACATGATCAACGCCCAGATAATGTGATATTTCCTACTTCCTTTAGATTTGTCAAATGTTCATCCTTCCCTAATATATCCAGTATCTTTTAAAACAATTAGCTCTGCCGTAACCTGTAATGTCACAAAGTGCTACAAGTAAGTTATAATGCCTGGTTGAAGTATTTCGATATGCTATGTATTGGTACCTAACGGTACTTCCCGATAATAACACACAATGGTTTTCCAAAATAATTTCTTGAAAATAATTTTTTTTCTTTTTGCTAACAACAAAATTATTAAAATTATATTTGTTTTTGCGATTTAAAAGAAAAGCCTGCAAGCCGTTAAGTGAATGTCTGATCTCAAGAATTGACTTATCTCTTTCTTTCCCCAGCTTTTATGAAGCCTTTGTAACATTATCTATCAGTAACTATTAGAACATAATCATAAACTCTGAAGGATCGAGTTACATGTGATTATTAATCACTTCATCTATATAAGATGTCCAAATGTTCTTCTCGTGCTTATAGTTACTCACATACTAATTTTAAATGGAAAACGTCCTTGATTAAACTTTAATATTAAATAATCCAAATCTGGTCATTATTTGGTCAATAATGGCTGTAGTCATTACATCTTAAACAATGAACAAATAAGCAAAGCTACTTATGAAAAAAATCTTTGAAAAAAGATCACTTATTGTTCCTTCTGGCTCGTAACTTTTCAGTTGTGAAATTAAAACTGTATTCCTGCAAGGTATATTACCATTTTCAGTGATATATCCATTATTAAAAACCAGCAAGACTTAAATAAAATAAGCTACTTCTACGCCATATTTTAAGTGCAAAAAGGTGTCTGAAAAAAGTATCAACAAATACGTATATCACAGTATCGACTATTGACTTTCATCACCATGACATGGTTTTCGTCTCCAAGATGCAGCACTCAAACTTTTCCTAACAGGGGAATGCAACAACTTAAACATGAGAAAGATATGCATGTCATTTAGGACAGGGCTCTTCGACTATTTTTTAAGGCCAGAATAGAAAATGTTATGAGTAGACGGGCCAGAAGAATTTTAATCTGCACATTTTTAAGTAACATTATAAATATTGTATAATGCTGGTATATTGAGCAAATTTCAATGTGTGAATAGCTCTTTAATAACAGAACAATACATGTTTAATAGAGTATCAATATAAACATTGTAAATGTTCGTAGGACAATAAACACAGTATTTTTCAAATTCAAATTACTACATACTTTAGTAAAGTCAAGTACTTGTTGTATTGGTCATGTATGTCGATATATTAACCATACAAAAATCTTACCCGTCTTAGCCACTGTCAGAACTTAAAATATGATATCTTTCGCCAATTGTCAAAATAAAAGGCTTTTACTTACATTTCTTAATAGTATAAATATATACTGTGTTGTTGTTGGGCTTAGGATTCTTCTACAGTAGGTGTCTGTGACTTGTTTGTGATAAATTCAACGACAAATTAAAAGCACACACTTCACTTGTTTTCAAAATAATATATATATATATATATATATAATAATAATAATAATTATATATATTCGGAACAAGTTAAACGTATGTACAAATAATTCTTCACACCATAGATATTATAGACATACCATAAACATTATATATATATATAGTTATCTTCTTTTCGTAAAAAAGTTCAGTTAGGCCTATTCAATTACTTTAGAATTTCAGTTGACAAGCCGAACTATCTTCTCTATTACTATCGCACTAGTATTCTGTGTGTGATTCACTTACAATTGTAGCGCGAGTTACTGTAATCGTTTGGTCTTCTTTCTTTTAAAAAATCCTCTGTTCCTTTTGTCAAAGTGCACTCAGGCTGATTCAATTACTTTAGATCCACGCTTTGACGGAATAATTGTTCTTCTTATCTCCTTTTCTACTGTTAGTTTTACTCTAACATATTAAACGCTGGGCCTATGTTAATCATTAGGTCTATCACTTCTATTGTAGTTAACTTCATGCCGAACTTTTCTTTGCCCGCAAATTTACTCTATTCTGCTATTGTCTATCTGCTGTTTCCGCGTGTCTCACACTTTTTAAATGTTTATCACTTAATCGTCTGCCCGCCTTCTAGAAATCTCTATATTCTCGACGTCAATGTATTGCACGCGACGTTCGATAGTCTCCACATCAATG